AGGAGCTCATTGGTCGAGTTCTAGTCTCATGTCATGACTCATTGGTCAGTTCTAGTCTCATGCAGTAGCTCATTGGTCAGTTCTAGTCTCATGCAGGGAGCTCATTGGTCAGTTCTAGTCTCATGCAGGAGCTCACTGGTCAGTTCTAGTCTCATGCAGGAGCTCACTGGTCAGTTCTAGTCTCATGCAGTAGCTCATTGGTCAGTTCAGTCTCATGCAGTAGCTCATTGGTCAGTTCTAGTCTCATGCAGGAGCTCACTGGTCAGTTCTAGTCTCATGCAGGAGCTCACTGGTCAGTTCTAGTCTCATGCAGGAGCTCATTGGTCAGTTCTAGTCTCATGCAGGAGCTCATTGGTCAGTTCTAGTCTCATGCAGGAGCTCACTGGTCAGTTCTAGTCTCATGCAGGAGCTCACTGGTCAGTTCTAGTCTCATGCAGTAGCTCACTGGTCAGTTCTAGTCTCATGCAGGAGCTCATTGGTCAGTTCTAGTCTCATGCAGGAGCTCACTGGTCAGTTCTAGTCTCATGCAGGAGCTCACTGGTCAGTTCTAGTCTCATGCAGTAGCTCACTGGTCAGTTCTCTAGTCTCATGAAGCTCATTGGTCGTTTTAATCTCATGCAGAGCCACTGGTCAGTTCTAGTCTCATGCAGTAGCTCACTGGTCAGTTCTAGTCTCATGCAGGAGCTCAGTTATTGTAATATATGATAATTTATTTTGGTTCCTGACACACATGAGTGATTGAGTGATTGCTTGTTTGAGTGATTGCTTGTTTGAGTGATTGCTTGATTGAGTGATTGGTTGATTGAGTGATTGGTTGATTGAGTGATTGGTTGATTAAATGCTTGGTTGGTTGATTGGTTGATTGGTTGGTTGGTTGATTGATTGATTGCAATCTTGTGTTGTGGGGTTACTTTTCTTCTCCTCTATCGTTATGTAAGCATTGGTGTCCTCTCTCTCTCTCTCTCTCTCTCTCTCTCTCTCTCTCTCTCTAACCAAACCTATATGAACCGGAAGATGAGGTGGGGGGGGAAGGGAGGGATTACAACACGTCGTCTCCTAGTGTTAGTGTATAGGTTGAGTGTATACAGGAAGTAGTGTGCATGACGGACTTACTGTGGGGATATTGAGGCCGCTATAGTACAGTACAGGCGAGGTCCACGCCCACCTTAACCGAGTGTGGGAAGTTTGGATGAACTCTGAGGCGGTTGGTTATATTCTTAATGCTTGTCGTATGTCTCAATCGGACGAAGAAACTGTATTAATAAAGACAGATTGTGAAAAGGACCTGGGTGTGTATGATGACAATGAACTGAAGTTCTCGGGCCATTGTGAGAAGAAGGTGAATCAAGTAACTAAATTATTAGGTCTTATAAGAAGGTCGTTCAGATATCTAGACGGTTTGTCCCTCGTAATGATCTTCAAGAGTGAGGTGCTTCTCCGCCTGAAGTACTGTCACCCCGTCTGGTCCCCGAGATGTGCTAGGGACTGTCAGTTGGTTGAAAATGTTCAAAGGAGGGCCACCAGACTGGTGCCTGCACTCCGGCACCTCAGCTACCCTGAGAGATTGGAACGCCTGCAACTGCCTGGCTTATACCACAGACGGGCAAGGGGCAAGGGGTGACGTAATTCAGGTGTATAAAATCTCAGAGGGCACTACTCAGTGGATGTCCTTTGGGGGGAGGGGGGCACTCCCCTACATCCTTGTGTAAGGTGAAGCGCAGAAGCGTTTACAGCGCCCAACAGGGAAGAATGCTAAGTTCATGCTTGCCTTTATGTCTCATGAGTTAAGGGCGTAGAAGCCTGAAGAGTCAAGGGCGTAGAAGCCTGAAGAGTCAATGGTTTATGTCATCAAGTTATTGGAAGGTCCAACAACTCCCTGAATACGAATTCGCAACTTTCGACTTACACCAGGTACCTACTTTACTGCTAGGTGAACAGGGACTAACCTGGAGCTGGCGGACGCTCGCCCCACAAGGGGTCACAGCTCAATGTTTGAAGAAACTACAAGTCCAGAAAACTGTTAGGGCAAACTTTTTCGGGGTGAGAGTTGTGAACTCTTGGAACAATCTACCAGAGAGTGTTGTGACGGCACCGAGTGTGAGCTCTTTCAAGACAAGACTTGACCAACACTGGAGCAGGTTCAGGTACATTCAGGAGCCGATCAGTGGTGAAATGGATTAAAAAAACCTCTTGAGTGGTCGGTTGTATTACTAATACGAAAATATAATAAAACCACAAGTATCACCTTTTGTGTGTGTTTTAGCTTAAGTCAATGAATTGATGTATGTTTTAAGTGTTTTTTTAGGAGGAAATTATTGACCGTACGAACTTTTGTGAATTCGACCGCAGGTTATGCAACACACGCAAGGGTTCACCAGCAAAAAATGTTCAGCTGCAGTAACCTCACTAAACACGCGGGTAGATAAATCACTACTTCCTGTGTCCAAAATACTGTTACATTAGGTTACCTTACATTACGTTGTGTTACGTTAGGTTACCTTACATTACGTTGTGTTACGTTAGGTTACGTAAGGAAGGATTTTATCTTCTTTAAGACTAATATCTTGTTTTGTTTCTCATGTTATGTGTGTGTGTGTGTGTGTGTGTGTGTGTGTGTGTGTGTGTGTGTGTGTGTGTCAGTGTATCAATATATATGTGTATGTAATGACGACACCACATCACCGCCACACCACCATCACCACCACCACACCACTACCACCACACCATCACCACAACACCACCACCACACCATTATCACCACTATCACACCACCACCACACCATTATCACCACACCACTACCACCACACCATTACCACACCACCACCACCACACCATTATCACCACACCACTACCACCACCACTACCACACCACCACCACACGTGTCAGTACACATAAGAGGTCAGCGGACACGCCCTCAACTGACGCCGGCAAGACTTTCAAGTGAGGGAGATGCGGTTTGCGGTCGCTCACCCCACCAGGAGGACCGGTTGATGATGACCGGTTGATGATGACCGGTTGATGATGACCGGTTGATGATGACCGGTTGATGATGACCGGTTAATGATCAGTGTTTAAATCATGTCTACATATATACGTAAGGGGAAGGGCAGGGTGACGTTCTGGGATAAAAATTTCCACTAATCTCATCCTGTTCCACTAATCTCACCCCATCCCACTAACACTAACATCAACAGTACATAATATCACCCCATCCCACTAATCTCACCCCTTCCTAATCTCACTAATCTCACCTAATCCTCACCACCCTAATCACCTTATAGATCTGGTGGCAGATATGGAGAACATAACGCGGGATGAGATGAGCGAGGTACTGCAGGAGGTAGGGGAGGAGTGTGGCCACGACCTCCTGACCCTGAGACAAGACGCCCCTCTCACCTGGTCACTGTGGAACTCCTTCTTCTTCACCTTCACCGTCATCACCACCATAGGTAAGGTCTTCCTGTAGGAGGTGAGGGAGTGTGTGGGTCTTGGTGAAGGAGTGTGGGTCTTGGTGAGGGAGTGTGGGTCTTGGTGAGGGAGAGTGGGTCTTAGTGAGGGAGTGTGTGTCTTGGTGAGGGAGAGTGTGTCTTGGTGAGGGAGAGTGTGTCTTGGTGAGGGAGAGTGGGTCTTGGTGAGGGAGAGTGTGTCTTGGTGAAGGAGAGTGAGTGTGTCTTGGTGAGTGTGTCTTGGTGAGGGGAGTGAGGGGAGAGTGTGTGTCTTGGTGAGGAGAGTGGGTCTTGGTGAGGAGTGTGGTTGGTGAGGGAGTGTGTGTCTTGGTGAGGGGAGAGTGTGTCTTAGTGAGGGAGTGTGGGTCTTAGTGAGGAGAGTGTCTTGGTGAGGGAGAGTGTGGGTCTTAGTGAGGGTGTCTTGGTGAGGGAGAGTGTGTCTTAGTGTGGTCTTGGTGAGAGTGTGTCTTGGTGAGGGAGTGTGTCTCTTGGTGAGGAGAGTGGGTCTTGGTGAGGAGTGTGTGTTTTGGTGAGGGAGTGTGTGTCTTGGTGAGGGAGAGTGTGTCTTGGTGAGGGAGAGAGTGTGTCTTAGTGAGGGAGTGTGGGTCTTAGTGAGGGAGAGTGTGTCTTGTGAGGGAGTGAGGGAGGAGAGTGGTCTTCTTAGTGGTCTTGGTGAGGGAGAGGGAAAGGGAGAGGTGAGGTGTCTTAGTGTGATGAGAGTGTGTCTTGGTGAGGAGAGTGTGTCTTGGTGAGGGGAGTGTGTGTCTTGGTGAGGGAGTGAGGTGGGGAGAGTGTGTCTTAGTGAGGGAGAGTGTGTCTTGGTGAGGGAGAGTGTCTTGGTGAGGGAGAAGTGTCTTAGTGAGGGGAGGGAGAGAGTGGGTCTTGGTGAGGTGTGGAGGAGGGTGTTGTGAGAGGAGAGTGTGTCTTAGTGAGGAGAGTGTGTCTTGGTGAGGAGAGTGTGTCTTAGTGAGGAGAGTGTGTCTTGGTGAGGGAGAGTGTGTCTTAGTGAGGGAGAGTGTGGGTCTTGGTGAGGGAGAGTGTTTCTTGGTGAGGGAGAGTGTGTCTTGAGTGAGGAGAGTGTGTCTTGGTGAGGAGAGTGTGTCTTGGTGAGGGAGAGTGTGTCTTGGTGAGGAGAGTGTCTTTAGTGAGGAGGTGTGTCTTGGTGAGGTTCTTGGTGAGGAGAGTGTGTCTTGGTGAGGGAGAGAGTGTGTCTTGGTGAGGGGGAGGGAGTGTCTTGGTGAGGGAGAGGGTCTTGAGGGAGAGTCTTATGAGGAGAGTGGGGTCTTGGTGAGGGAGAGTGGGTCTTGGTGAGGGAGAGTGGGTCTTGGTGAGGGAGAGTGGGTCTTGGTGAGGGAGAGTGTGTCTTGGTGAGGGAGTTGAGGTAAATTGTTGTATACTGGGGGTAGTAGAGGTAAAAGGTGTTGCTCATAATAGATTAAGTAGTGCACAGTGATGGTCCAGTTGTTGTTGTTGTTGCAAGGTTGTGACTCATCTGATTGTTGACTGGTGTAATGGTCAGCATTGTTGACTCGCAAGCGAGCCGACCCGGGTTCGATCCCCGGGCAGGGTGAAACTATGGGCATGTTTCTTAACGCCATTTGCCTCTGTCTACCCAGCAGTAATTGGGGACCTGGATGTTAATCGATCTGCAGATCGTGTTCCAGGGTAACGGTTAGCCAGTGCAGTTGGCGAGTTGTCCGGTCTTCACGGACTATTCCTTAACACCGGGTCATGCAGCTCGTTAACTCAGGGTGTGGTTGTTGTGTTGGCGACAGCTTCTACACCTTAAACAAATTCACGCCTAGGTGGCCCTTGGGGCGGCCATCCTCGTTACACGAGGGGCAACCATTGTATTTATGCCACATCTTGGTAACTTACTGTTGTCGTTGCAGGGTTATGACACATCTTGGTAACTTACAGTTGTCGTTGCAGGGTTATGACACATCTTGGTAACTTACTGTTGTCGTTGCAGGGTTATGACACATCTTGGTAACTTACTGTTGTCGTTGCAGGGTTATGACACATCTTGGTAACTTACTGTTGTCGTTGCCGGGTTATGACACATCTTGGTAACTTACTGTTGTCGTTGCAGGGTTATGACACATCTTGGTAACTTACTGTTGTCGTTGCAGGGTTATGACACATCTTGGTAACTTACTGTTGTCGTTGCAGGGTTATGACACATCTTGGTAACTTACTGTTGTCGTTGCAGGGTTATGACACATCTTGGTAACTTACTGTTGTCGTTGCAGGGTTATGACACATCTTGGTAACTTACTGTTGTCGTTGCAGGGTTATGACAGATCATAAATTTACTGTCGCCACAGGTTAAGGATGACATCTGGCAATCCCATCAGTTGTCGCTGCAGGGTTATGATGCCACATCTTGTTAACTTACCGTTGTCGCCGCAGGTTATGACACATCCGGTAACTTACCGTTGCCGTTGCAGGTTGGCGATATTAATTCGGTAACCATCGCTTGTCGCTGCAGGCGACACATCCTGCAACTTACAGTTGCTGTCGCTGGTGGTTATGACACATCTTGCAACTTACCGTTGTCGTTATGGGCCAGACACAATCTTTGCAACTTCACTGTTGTCGTTGCAGTGGTTATGACACATCCTTGCAACTACCGGTTGCCGTTGGTATGCTGGCGACACATCTTGGTAACTTACCGTTATCGCTGCAGGGCTATGAATAATATCTTGGCAACTCATCGTTGTCGTTGCAGGGTTATGACACATCTTGGTAACTTACTGTTGTCGTTGCAGGGTTATGACACATCTTGGTAACTTACTGTTGTCGTTGCAGGGTTATGACACATCTTGGTATCTTACAGTTGTCGTTGCAGGGTTATGACACATCTTGGTAACTTACTGTTGTCGTTGCAGGGTTATGAGACATCTTGGTAACTTACTGTTGTCGTTGCAGGGTTATGACACATCTTGGTAACTTACAGTTGTTGTTGCAGGGTTATGACACATCTTGGTAACTTACTGTTGTCGTTGCAGGGTTATGACACATCTTGGTAACTTACTGTTGTCGTTGCAGGGTTATGACACATCTTGGTAACTTACTGTTGTCGTTGCAGGGTTAAGTGACACATCTTGGTATCTTACTGTTGTCGTTACAGGGTTATGATGACACATCTTGCAACTTACTGCTGTCGTTGCAGGGTTATGACACATCTTGGTAACTTACTGCTAAGTCGTTGCAGGGTTATATTAACATCTGCACTACTGTTGTCGTTGCAGGGTTATGACACATCTTGGTAACTTACTGTTGTCGTTGCAGGGTTATGACACATTCTGGTAACTTACTGTTGTCGTTGCAGGGTTACATTGCATCTTGGTAACTTACTGTTGTCGTTGCAGGGTTATGACACATCTTGGTAATCATTGTTGTCGTTGCAGGGTTATACACATCTTGGTAACTTGCTGTTGTCGTTGCAGGGTTATGACACATCTTGGTAACTTACAGTTGTCGTTGCAGGGTTATGATACATCTTGGTAACTTACTGGGTTGTCGCTTGCAGGGTTAAGTGACACATCTTGGTAACTTACTGTTGTCGTTGCGGTAGGGTTATGACACATCTTGGTAAACTTATCATTGTCGTTGCAGGGTTATGACACATCATGGTAACTTCTTACTGTTGTCGTTACAGGGTTATGACACATCTTGGTAACTTACTGTTGTCGTTGCAGGGGTTATGACACATCTTGTTAACTTACTGTTGTCGTTGCAGGGTTATGACACATCTTGGTAACTTACTGTTGTCGTTGCAGGGTTATGACACATCTTGGTAACTTACTGTTGTCGTTGCAGGGTTATGACACATCTTGGTAACTTACAGTTGTCGTTGTAGGGTTATGACACATCTTGGTAACTTACTGTTGTCGTTACAGGGTTGTGACACATCTTGGTAACTTACTGTTGTCGTTGCAGGGTTATGACACATCTTGGTAACTTACTGTTGTCGTTACAGGGTTATGACACATCTTGGTAACTTACTGTTATCGTTGCAGGGTTATGACACATCTTGGTAACTTACTGTTGTCGTTGCAGGGTTATGACACATCTTGGTAACTTACTGTTGTTGTTGCAGGGTTATGACACATCTTGGTAACTTAATGTTGTCGTTGCAGGGTTATGACACATCTTGGTAACTTACTGTTGTCGTTGCAGGGTTATGACACATCTTGGTAACTTACTGTTGTTGTTGCAGGGTTATGACACATCTTGGTAACTTACTGTTGTCGTTGCCGGGTTATGACACATCTTGGTAACTTACAGTTGTCGTTGCAGGGTTATGACACATCTTGTTAACTTACTGTTGTCGTTGCAGGGTTATGACACATCTTGTTAACTTACTGGTTGTCGTTGCAGGGTTATGACACATCTTGGTATCTTACTGTTGTCGTTGCAGGGTTATGACACATCTTGGTAACTTACTGTTGTCGTTGCAGGGTTATGACACATCTTGGTAACTTACTGTTGTCGTTGTAGGGTTATGACACATCTTGGTTACTTACTGTTGTCGTTGCAGGGTTATGACACATCTTGGTAACTTACTGTTGTCGTTGTAGGGTTATGACACATCTTGGTAACTTACTGTTGTCGTTGCAGGGTTATGACACATCTTGGTAACTTACAGTTGTCGTTGCAGGGTTATGACACATCTTGGTAACTTACTGTTGTCGTTGCAGGGTTATGACACATCTTGGTAACTTACTGTTGTCGTTGCAGGGTTATGACACATCTTGGTAACTTACTGTTGTCGTTGCAGGGTTATGGACACATCTTGGTAACTTCACTGTTGTCGCTGCATGGTTGGCGACACATCTTGCAACTTACTGTTGTCGTTGCAGGGTTATGACACATCTTGGTAACTTACTGTTGTCGTTGCAGGGTTATGACACATCTTGGTAACTTACTGTTGTCGTTGCAGGGTTATGACACATCTTGGTAACTTACTGTTGTCGTTGCAGGGTTATGACACATCTTGGTAACTTACTGTTGTCGTTGCAGGGTTCGGACACATGGCACCATTAACACCGTGGGGTCGGGTCTTCTGTATAACCTACGCCTTCATCGGTGTTCCCCTCAACGGCATCGTCTTCGCCTCTCTTGCCGACCTCTTCTCCTCCAAGGTGAGTCACTTTCCATCGTCACTTTCCAGCATTACTTTCCACGTTACCTTTCAGTGTCACTTTCCTCGTTATCTTCCAGTGTCTTTTTCTACGTTACTTTCCAACAACACTTTCTAACATTACTTACCACCGTCACTTACCACCGTCACTTACCACCGTCACTTACCATCGTCACTTACCACCGTCACTTACCATCGTCACTTACCACGACCCACAAACATCACCTAGACTAAGTTATTTTCACCTTAAGTTTTCATGTTGTTTACGTTATCCACATATCACCAGTTAGGATGAATAAATACAACATAGGAACCTTTGGAATCCTTTACCTTTAGTTAATGATTTAGATATTTACAAAGGTCCTCTGCTGCCCTTACTTGTATCTTGAGGGACTTAACTCAGCTGCCATTACTTATATCTAGAAGGACTTAACTCAGCTGCCATTACTTAAATCTTGAGGGATTTAGCTCAGGGTATTAAGACTTTCCCCTTAAAACAACGCCAGTACGGACACTCACAGCATCCCACTTACGCCAGGCAAACACTTACTTAACTCCTACAAGATACAGTCAGATACAGTCAGGTGTTTTATGTATTCGTACTTGAGACATACTGTAGGACTTGGGAGCAATACAGTACTTATTTTTTTAACAGAGGAATATCACAGCATATTCCTCACTGTTTAAATTACCTTTGTTATTGTTGTTATAGGTTAATTAAGGGATTTACACACCTGGTCACATCTCAAGGTAGGAGGAGGTGGGTTTAATATGCGACTTCTTGTTGACCTATGATAATGTGTGTGTGTGTGTGTGTGCGCGCGTCTAGTTACCTGTGTTGTAAGAATTAAGACAGGTGAACACTAACACGCCAACACACACACACACACACACACACACACACACACACACACACCCACACCCTCATTACTGGTCAACAATACCGTATGTCCTTCCAACTCTCCTCAATACACAGAACACGCAATACAACCTGTTTTTGTTTTGATTTTTAACGAAGATAAACTGCAGATTAGTTTGTGTCCACCTTCTTAATAATCAAACTCAAAACGTAACACCCTAAGATGATTACACGGTCATTATATCATTATAAAAAACACACTTTACATTATACGTCTCATTGTATTCATTGTCGAGAGAGGTGTGATTATTAAGACGAGTTTTAGGCAGACGTTAAACAGAACGCTTGAGGATTATACTTTCTTGGGGTGGGAGGGGGTTAGGATGGAAGGGGTTGTGGTGGGAGGAGGTTAGGATGGAAGGGGTTGTGGTGGGTGGGAGGAGTTAGGATGGAAGGGGTTGTGGTGGGAGGGAGGAGGTTAGGATGGAAGGGGTTGTGGTGGGAGGAGGTTAGGATGGAAGGGGTTGGGGGGAGGGGTTAGGATGGAAGGGGTTGTGGTGGGAGGAGGTTAGGATGGAAGGGGTTGTGGTGGGAGGGGTTAGGATGGAGGGGTTGTGGTGGGAGGGTTAGGGATGGAAGGGGTTGTGGTGGGGAGGGAGGGGGTTAGGATGGAAGGGGTTGTGGTGGGAGGGAGGGTTAGGATGGAAGGGGTTGTGGTGGGAGGAGGTTAGGATGGAAGGGATTGTGGTGGGAGGGGGTTAGGATGGAAGGGTTGTGGTGGGTGGGAGGGTTAGGATGGAAGGTTGTGGTGGGTGGGAGGGGGTTAGGATGGAAGGGGTTGTGGTGGGTGGGAGGGTTAGGATGGAAGGGTTGTGGTGGGTGGGAGGGGGTTGGATGGAAGGGGTTGTGGTTGGAGGAGGTTAGGATGGAAGGGGTTGTGGAGGGAGGAGGGTTGGATGGAAGGGGTTGTGGTGGGAGGGGTTAGGATGGGAGGGATTGTCGTGGGTGGGAGGGATTAGGATGAAAGGGGTTGTGGTGGGTGGGAGGGGTTGGGATGGGAGGGATTGTGGTGGGTGGGAGGGGTTAGGATGGAAGGGGTTGTGGTGGGTGGGAGGGTTAGGATGGAAGGGGTTGTGGAGGGTGGGAGGAGGTTAGGATGGAGGGGTTGTGGTGGGAGGAGGTTAGGATGGAAGGGGTTGTGGTGGGAGGAGGTTGGGATGGAAGGGGTTGTGGTGGGAGGAGGTTGGATGGAAGGGGTTGTGGTGGGGTGGGAGGGTTAGGATGGAAGGGGTAGTGGTGGGTGGGAGGGGTTAGGATGGAAGGGGTTGTGGGGTGAGGGAGGGGGTTAGGATGAAGGTTGTGGTGGGAGGGAGGGGTTAGGATGAAAGGGGTTGTGGTGGGAGGGAGGGGTTAGGATGGAAGGGTTGTGGTGGGAGGAGTAGGTTAGGATGGAAGGGGTTGTGGTGGGAGGGGGAGGGATAAGATGGAAGGGGTTGTGGTGGGAGAGGGAGGGGTTAGGATGGAAGGAAGGGGTTGTGGGAGGGAGGGCTTAGGATGAAAGGGTTGTGGTGGGAGGGAGGTTAGGATGGGAGGGGTTGTGGTGGGAGGGAGGGTTAGGATGGAAGGGGTTGTGGTGGGTGGGAGGGGGTTAGGATGGAAGGGGTTGTGGTGGGTGGGAGGGTTAGGATGGAAGGGGTTGTGGTGGGAGGGAGGGGTTGGGATGGGAGGGGTTTGTGGTGGGGAGGAGGGGTTAGGATGGAAGGGGTTGTGGTGGGTGGGGGGGTTAGGATGGAAGGGGTTGTGGTGGTGGGGAGGTTAGGATGGAAAGGGTTGTGGTGGGGAGGAAGTTAGGATGGAAGGGGTTGTGGTAGGGAGGAGGGTTAGGATGGAAGGGGTTGTGGGTGGGAGGGAGGTTAGGATGGAAGGGGTTGTTGGGTGGGAGGGTTAGGATGGAAGGGGTTGTGGTGGGAGGGAGGGGTTAGGATGGAAGGGGTTGTGGTGGGGTGGGAGGAGGTTAGGATGGAAGGGTTGTGGTGGGAGGGAGGGGTTAGGATGGAAGGGGTTGTGGTGGGAGGGAGGGGTTAGGATGGAAGGGGTTGTGGTGGGAGGAGGTTAGGATGGAAGGGGTTGTGGTGGGAGGGGGAGGGGTTAGGATGGAAGGGTTGTGGTGGGAGGGAGGGGTTAGGATGGAAGGGTTTGTGGTGGGAGGAGGGTTAGGATGGAAGGGTTGTGGTGGGAGGGAGGGGTTAGGATGGAAGGGGTTGTGGTGGATGGGGAGGTTAGGATGGAAGGGGTTGTGGTGGGAGGGGAGGGTTAGGATGGAAGGGGTTGTGGTGGGAGGGAGGGGTTGGATGGAAGGGGTTGTGGTGGGAGGGAGGGGTTAGGATGGAAGGGGTTGTGGTGGGAGGGAAGGGGTTAGGGATGGAAGGGATTGTGGTGGGAGGAAGTTAGGATGGAAGGGGTTGTGGTAGGGAGGGAGGGGTTAGGATGGAAGGGGTTGTGTGTGGGTGGGAGGGTTAGGATGGAAGGGTTGTGGTGGGTGGGAGGGTTAGGATGGAAGGGGTTGTGGTGGGAGGAGGTTGGGATGGAAGGGGTTGTGGTGGGAGGGAGGGGTTAGGATGGAAGGGGTTGTGTGGTGGGAGGAGGTTAGGATGGAAGGGGTGGTGGTGGGTGGGAGGGTTAGGATGGAAGGGGTTGTGGTGGGAGGGGTTAGGATGGAAGGGTTGTGGTGGGAGGAGGTTAGGATGGAAGGGGTTGTGGTGGGAGGAGGTTAGGATGGAAGGGGTTGTGGTGGGAGGGAGGGTTAGGATGGAAGGGTTGTGGTGGGAGGAGGTTAGGATGGAAGGGTTGTGGTGGGAGGGAGGGGTTAGGATGGAAGGGGTTGTGGTGGGAGGGAGGGGTTAGGATGGAAGGGGTTGTGGTGGGAGGGAGGGGTTAGGATGGAAGGGGTTGTGGTGGAGGAGGGGTTAGATGGAAGGGGTTGTGGTGGGAGGGTTTGGATGGAAGGGGTTGTGGTGGGAGGGAGGAGGTTTGGATAGTAATTCACTGTTCCTGCAATCATCCCTGACACGTCGACAGAACTCGCTGTGTCATGATAGGTTAAGTTTGGTTAGGTTAGGTTAGGTTAGGTTAGGTTAGCTTTAGGTTAAGTTAGGTGAGGTTAGGTTAGATTATGGTAAATTAGGTGAGTTTTGGGTAATTAATCTTAAGGTGACATGTGCCTGGGGTATTACTCTCCCCGTGGTGTTATTATATACAGTCTAAGACCACAACACCTCTTACTTGGTCACCTCCAGCAATCATTAACACCGTCAGGATTCTGGGCACCATTACTACCCTCCTGACACCCTCCTTCACCTACCCTCCTGACACCCTCCTTCACCTACCCTCCTGACACCCTCCTTCACCTACCCTCCTGACACCCTCCTTCACCTACCCTCCTGACACCCTCCTTCACCTACCCTCCTGACACCCTCCTTCACCTACCCTCCTGACACTCCCCTTCACCCACCCTCCTGACACCCCCTCCTCACCTACCCCTCCTGACACCCTCCTTCACCTCCGACACCCCTCCTTCACCTACCCTCCTGACACCTCTTCACCGTGTCTCACAAATTCCCTTCATCAAACTGTAAAAGAACATTCCTTTCCTTCCTTTCCCTGCCCTCCCCCATCCCCCCCCCCTGCCCTCCCCATCCTCCTCTCCCCTGCCCTCCCATCCCCTCCCCTGCCCCCCATCCCCCATCCTCCTCCCATCCCCCCTCCCCCTCCCCATCCTGCCCCCCCCCGCCCCGCCCCTCCCCATCCTCCCCCATCCCCACCCCTCCCCACCTCCGCCCTCCCCCATCCCCCCCGCCCCCCGCCCCCTGCCCCTCCCCCATCCCCCTCCTCCCCCATCCCCTCCCTCCCCATCCCCCTGCCCCTCCCCATCCCCCTCCTGCCCCTCCCCCCTGCCCTCCCCATCCCCCCTCCTCCCCCATCCCCCCCCTCCCCCTCCCCCCGCCTCCCTCCCCCCTGCCCTCCCCCCTGCCCTCCCATCCCCCCTCCTCCCCCCATCCCTCTCTCTCTCCTCCTTCCTTCCAGCCTCAACAACAACAAAAACAAACTATACGTTACATAATAGATGCACACTAAACCCCGTG